TGGACAGATAACTGTTCTCACCCTTGTCACTTCACTCACTAATACTGCCCTCTCCTGGTTAATTTTTTTTTTTAAACTAAACTCACCGGTTTCTTGCCCACGATGAGTTTCTCGACCTTCTGAACCTGGGACACGTGGTCTTCGTTGGTCTTCAGCTCACGCTTACGGATCCTCTCGTAGATGCCGACCAGAGTCTCTCGGGGAATGTCCTCGCCATCGTCCACACCTGGACCAGAGGGAGGAACCGGACTTAGCAACGACCTGGTACGTCAGTGTGTGTTTATGGACCCGGTCTGAACCGGACTGAACCGGACTGAACAGGACTGAACCGGACTACCTCTCAGGTTCTTGATGAAGTCCTCCAGCTTCATCTTCCTCTCGGGCTTCACGTTGGGGCTGTACATGTCAGTGTTGAGGAGGATGATGGCAAAGGCCAGGATGAAGATGGTGTCGGGGTTCCTGAACTGACGCACCACGGTGGGGTTACAGATGCAGTAACGCTGGCTGGAGACAACAGAATCACAGACACAGAACTTTAGAACGTTCTGGAAAATATTCACGTCCTTTCTGGTCCATCCGCAGCTCACTGACAGAAGATCTCACCTGAAAGCCTCGATCAGCCGCTCCACCTTCTGGGCCTCGCCCTGGACTCGGATGTGGTTCTGAAATTTCCTGAGAGCCTCGTCCAGCTCCATGGTCTGGAAGTCCATTTCATCCACCACACAGCTGAGGCACACAGAGGTTTGTAGTTACAGTACTCTGAGTATTTACAGTACTCTGAGTATTTACAGTACTCTGTGTATTTACAGTACTCTCTCTGAGGAGTTTTTAACAGTTCATCAAAGTCAAGAAGAAAATAAAAAACGGTTCTCACTCCAGAACGTCTCTGTTGAACTGTTTCTGTCGGTTCCCGAGGAACTCTCCAATCATCTGCCGGCTCAGACCCTTCCTCTGCAGCAGGAAGTGGGCCACGCCCACCGGTGTGTCGGGGATGAATCCTCTCTCTGTCAGGTACTGGATTCCTTTTTCTGGTTTTCTGGAAAAATCCAACAATGACAGAAGGTTAAAGTTCTCGACATACAGGAGACACTCTTCACAGACTGGGGTCGGGTGGGAGGGGGGGTGAGGAGGAGGAGGGTGAGGTTGGTTTACTCATGATAGATAGGTTGACTGTGTGACTGGTTCATTTGGACCAGGCTGTTTATTACTGGTCTGATCCCAGGTTCTTAGACGTGGAGTGTATTAAACCCTGTTGAAGCTCAGCTTTTCATACGTCTGCTGGACAAGTGAAGCACAGACCTGCCCCCCCCTGCCGCCCCCTCCCCCCAGTGGAGTACCTACTTGTTGAACAGATTCAGACCGATGCGGTAGTGTCTCTTCCGTATGACGTCGTTGCTGAAGATGGGCGAGTCCCAGCTGTTGCGCGTCTCCTTGTGGTACGTCTGTTTGCTGAGCGTCTGCTCTCGGAGGCTGTCCCTGGACGAGGACTCGGAGCTGCAGTTGATGGTGTCGTTGGAGTTGGACGTGCTGTTGATGCTGTCGTTGTCGCCGTCGGAGAAGTCCGACTCCGATTTACTCTGTCTGTTGGCCGAGCCGTTGATGACCAAGTGACTTTCCAGCTGGCGGTGTCGGTGGCGCAGAGGCGGCTCGTCGTCACGCGACGGCACCCGCGGTGGCGGTCCGTGGGAGATGTGTTTGGGGCTGGCCTGGGACGACGTGATGATGTGACCTGGAGGTTCGTACGCAGGCGGCCGTTTGACGGAGCCGCGGTCGGAGCGGTCGCTCAGCTCCACGGAGCTGTCACTGGGAGGTTCAATGGTCAACAGGGGGAGATGGTCCATTCGGAGACGCTGCTCTTGACACTCCAGAGACGGAGTGCTGCGGCAGCTCGTGTCAGTGTCACGACCCTCGTCTTTGGGGTCAATAGGCCAGTAATCCTGGGAGGAGTTGACCGACCGCAACCTCAAGTCCGACTCCGTACTGGACGGCTGATTTCCCGTCCTTGACAGAGCGATGGCGGGGGACATGTCCTCCTCATCGATGAACAGAGTGACATCACTGTACGATGCCATGGTTTCATCGCGCATGCGTCCCGCTGCCCTGCGGTGGGACTTGACTTGGTAGGGCATTTCCCTGCCCACCTCAGAGCAGCCCATGGCCTCGGGGTCGGGGCCTTCGTCCCCCTGGAGGCTTCGACAGTTCAGAGCGTGGTCTACGGCCTCCGCACGNCTATGGACTCCGCCAGAGACTTGACCTGCCTGGAGAAGGCGTCCTCCAGCTCCGTGATGGTGTCGCTCAGGTCGCCCTGCGGGGGAGGGTGAGACGCCATGTTGGCCTGAGGCTGCACCTCTATATCTCCACATTCAGACTGCACCATGGACAGCGGGGTGCCGTCTGCCGTCATGGACACCTGCCTCCCTTCGAAGTAGGAACTGTGCACCTTCTCTGGACCTTCAAACGACAGCTGCATCCTCATGTTGGACAGAACGATTCGCCGGGACATACGGTTCTCCGACATGGAGCTCCTGAGACGTTCAAAGTTCTTGTTCATCTGATATTGGCGGAACGCTGTCTGGATGGTGCGGGCTGCATGCCGGGTTATGAATCGTCCGCCATATTTGCGCTCCAGCATCTCCACCTAGTGTTCAGACGGTAAAACAACAGTGAAAGATTTACTCACAGTCGGACCAGTAAAATACAGTCATACAGTCCATAAATACATTTTACAAAACATTTATAAACGACTTGAGTCTTTTTAAGGGAAAAAAATAACTGCGACGTCAACAATATTTTATACAATAAAGTCACTAAATATTAACAAAGCTGACATTAATTGAAAAAAAAAATAGGAAGATGAAAATCTAGAAGTTTTGTAAAATTTTCATACCTTCCACATCTGTGTAATAATCATCTAACTTTCTGTTGTCCCAGTTCTGACCTGCAGGCCTTATGTTGGACATCCCTGCTTTAGTCAGTGTAAAATATTACATTATAACTATGAGTGAAAATTAAAGGTTTAATGATGTGTTCAACGGCTCAAAGATTTGAGGTAAAATATGAAACGGCTCAATCTGGGGCCACAACCCACAACTTGAACAACCCACCCTCATATTAGAGACTGGTCAAAACGTCTCGGACTCTGGTACCTGTTTGTCCTGAAGGTCGGCCGAGAGCTCGTAGCTCTCAGAGAGCGAGCGCGACCTCTTGATGGCCTCCTCCTCCGCCTGTTTCCGGAGGATGGACTGTGAGTGCTGGAGTTTGGGTCGTCGGGGCCTCTGTGGGCCGGGCTGGATCCCGTGGCTGTAGAGGGGACTGTCAAATCGGTCGGGGCTGATGGCTGAGCCGTGAGTCACCGGACCCTGCCCGTAACCGGCGCCACCGTCCGGGGAATGGCCGCTGTCATTGGACCGTGCGTCCCCCTCCACGCTGTGGACCAGAGAGAGAGGAAAGACGGTGAGAGACGGTCCTCAAACACCGGAGACTGGTGAGAATTGTGGGTAAAATCTGGCCATAGATCTTGGAATGTATCTTTAGGCAGTAGTTCCCAAAGTGGGAGGCTAACCCCCCCCCCGACGCCACACCCCCCCGTAGATTGGTCAGAGCTGTTGTGAGGAGGACCTTTCATTCAGTGGAGAAATGAAACGGTGACTGTTTGAATAAACAACTCCACAACAGGCCTTTCTGATAAAAGGGGGAGAGCGGGGGGGTTCAGTGTATATTGATGTTAACAGCAGCTGTGACTTTACATCTGTTCTACAACAGTCAGAGAAACGAGGCCTGGTCACAAACCTCAGCTTTTAGATCGTGTTTTTTTTTAAAACTTTGCAGGAAATTGTTCTGTTAATTTGACCCATCTGTGAAAATGACCACGTTTAACCACATACTCCAGTACTGCACACTGAAGTACTCCATACTCCAATACTACATACTGAAGTACTCCATAGTCCAATCCCAGGCCTGGTCCTGGTTCCACTGGAGTTCAGTTTAAATATTTACGATGAGGAGAGAAACAATAATCACAGGATTCAGCTGTGAAACAAACACCACGTGAACAGTCCAAGTACTGAACCCATCCAGTTCCTGTGTAGTTCTTGTGATATTTCCTCTTACACAAATCATGCCGGGGTGACCCCTCGTGCCCCCCCCATCATCTCTGTACTCACTCCGTGACTCTGGCCGTCTCAGCGGACGACTGTTTCCTACGAAGGGAGCGTCTGTTTTCTATCAGCTGCCAACTCTTCCTCCATATCTTGTCCACCATTCTCTCAGTCCACTGAGGTCCAGAGTTCACAGGCCCTTCCTGAAAACTAAAGCCTGATGCCGCCCTGTCGGCCAATCACAGCGCAGCAGGTTGCATCATTCCAGGGTGACGACACGCCGCTCCAAAGTTCAGTCCAGAGCAGGATATCAGAGCAAACAGAACCAGAGCGTTCCGTCAGAGGAACCTCTGACCTCTCTCCCACTTCTCCGCTCCTACACACCGCAGCCCCACAGCGTTTGAGTCGACTCGTCGACACACCCGTGTACACAATGTACACAGTGTACACAATGTACACAGTGTACACAGGACGCTTCCTCCGTGAGGCGCTCTCCACTGAAGGACGGCGACGGCAGCTCAGTGAGAAGAAGGGGAAGTCAGAGAGGCAGCGGGTCAGACCGCTGAGCCTCTGTGTCGGTGTGTGGTTCTACCTCACCGTGACTTCATGAAAATTTGATTATTTTCATGTTTTTTTTTTTCATCAGCGTGACCTTCAGAGCAGATCTCCTCTGAACTTCCTTAGAGCATTGAATTATAACACTGTGATACACACTTTATAAACCAGGAAACCACAAAAAAAAAAAAACACCTCAGTCCAAGTCTTGAACCAAAAGTTAATGAATTTCTGTTCACGTGAAAAAAAAGCAAAGGAAAATTTAATAAATTATGATTCTTTTAATTGATTTTTTTGAAGAAAATCCTGTTTTAGTATAAAAGTTTTTGTTGTTCCTTTAAACTTGTAAACTGTGTCTATATACTGTATATATATTTGGGTGGATGTGGTGTGTGTGTGTGTGTGTGTGTGTGTGTGTGTGTAGGGCTATATATATTTTTTCTTCTCTCCTTGTATATCTCGGTCGAGGCTGGAGATGTTTTTCCTTTTTATGGGAGTCCTTTTTTTTTTCTTTCTTTTTGTTGTTTTCATTTTGGACTAAATTAACTTTTGTGACTTTTCACAACTGTCAAAACTACAGGACTTAAAGACTGGTGAATATTGTTCAATAAAAGACACTCCTGTGGTTCTGCCGTCCACTGCCGTCCACTCAGCCGTCCACTGCCGTCCACTGCCGTCCACTCAGCCGATCCTCCATTTTGTCCTTCCTGCTGCACTTTTCTAACATTATGTGAGTAATTGGAACAGCACTGCATCATGGGTGCAGGGGGCAGCACAGAGCGAGTGCTGTGGTACTGTTAGCTCTGAGGGCAGTGACGAGGGGAGGAAACGGTGCCGCGAGGCTGTGATGAATTTTAGGGAGAAAAAAAAACAAAAAACGAATGAAGCCCAGCAGAGACGTGACATCGACGACGAGAACTGATCCCACACCGGTGGAGGTAAAACTGGAGGTTATTCAAGGTCTGGGTTTTGGCAACAACAGCACGGCCCTCGGAATTTAATCTTCTTATATTAACAACTTCTACCAGAGGTGTCACTGTGGTGCAGGCATGGATTAGCATGTCAGCTCAGCTGGCACTCATTTTCAACCATGAGTTTCAGCCATTAGCTGGTGGGGGGGCGAGGAGGGGGGGTGTAAGGAGTGACCATCTCCTTCTCTCCTTCTTCCCTCTTTCCTTCTCGACACATCTTGAACTAACAGACCCAGGCCCCCGTCCGGGCCTCAACCCATTCCATCAGTCCGACCTGAGGGAGAAACATTCCTCCGTCCCGGAAAAGAGGAGCCACATCTTCAGGGAATAGAACCAGGCTAATGAAGTGCAGGCTGGAGTCGTTGGCGGAAGAGAAAGCCACAGTGTGGAACCAGAGTAACTCCCTGACAAAGTCACACGGAGACTCACGGAGAACCTCTAGTCCAGGTTCTGGTATGTTTTTTCTTTAAGAACGAGTTCCTTTCTATATTTACGTTTGCCTTGGTTTTATTTCCATGTCAACGTATGACTTTGCGGTTGCTAATCTCTTGGTACGCAGCCCAGCGGAGACCCTGTCCCACATTTTGGAAACAGCTGATTTAGTCATCAGTCTGGATTCCAGGTTCTGGTCTTGGACGGGAGGTGAATGTCGTCAGTTAATCTGGTGAAGTCAGACTCTCAGGTCGCAGCCGCGCTGTTCATGGAAAACTATGCAAAACTCAACCCAACAAGCACAACAAGCACAACAACAACCCTGACAACAACCAGCCAAACGACCAGCCGGACCTTCTGACCAATCAAAATCATTTATTTCATTCAGGGAAATGTAAACATTTCCAGGGAACAGAACCTTTCGATGAAGCCAAACAAAGTCCACAACCACAGTTCTGACCCCACGTGCACCGTGGCTATGTGGGCCAAGGACAACCAGCTCATAAACACAGACGTGTCCTCCAGCCTCCAGCAGGCGGCGCTGTCTTCAGGTAAGAGCTTCTCAGACCACACAGGGACAGGGTTAATGAAGAGCAGCATGTGGACCCTCACCGGTCCAGGTCCCTTCAGCACCGAGGACCAAAGTTGATCAATGATCTGGATCCAGAGACCATTAAAGCAGTAGCAGCAGGGGGGGGGAGGGGGGAGTCTGGTGTCTGACACAGCTGTGAGCTGGAAATCTTCACTGGCCTCAGACTGACAGACTGACTCATGAGAGTCTGCAGCAGACAGACTGCTGGAGCCACTAGAACCCGTGGTCGTCGAGTCATCAGAACTGAGATGAAGGTTTGAATTTAAAAAAAACAAAACAAAACTGAAACGTTAGCTCTGGTGTCTGTACCAGGACTGTAGTGAATTCATCAACAACAATAAAGACATGTGGCAGCACCTGGTACTACAGCCCCCGACTGTAGCAGTAAATGTGAAGGTGACCACTGTGTCTGTCCCTCCACTGACCTCTCTGTTGTTGTCCTGTTATTCTGGGATGTCAGCAACAACAGTGCACTGCTTAAAAACACTAGATGGAGACAAATCTGACTCATGGTTTGACCTGTGACCTTTTGACTTCCGTCTCCTCCTCACACCTTGATGTGAACTGTCACAGATTTGTATCGATCTTTAATCGATTCATGAAGTTGTCGTTACAGCCCTGGATCTGAGGAGACTGAACTTTAACCAATGAGAACCCATTCATTCATTCATTCATTCATTCATTCATTCGACAGCTTCTCCATGACAGTGAGGGACACACTTCATGTGTTTGAATACAGACAGACTTCATTCATTCATTCGACAGCTTCTCCAAGACAGTGAGGGAGATGACTGAGTTAAACCTAACACTTCATGTGTTTGAATGTAAGGCAAGGGTTCCAATCACTTCCTCCACCGTGTGACCATCCTAACATGAATGAATGAATGAATGAATGAATGAATCCTCTTTATTTAAAACCTGCTAATTACTGGTTATTATAGTCTGGTGTTTCAACATTGTTATTGAGCTTTTTAAACACTAGTCACCGTAAATACAGCTGCAGTTGTCTGTCAACGACAACAACAACAACAACAACAACAACAACAACGACAATGATAAACACAGGATTATTATTTTCCCTTAACAACAACGACAACAACAACAATGATAAAACACAGGATTATTATTTTCCCTTGAAATAAATTTCCTTCACAATACACTCAGTGCCTATGAAAATACACACACACGTATACACACGAAGAGGGGGGAGAGAGGGGATGTCCAGATCATAAATGGATTCAGTACAGTAGGCCAAACACAACATGATCTCTCACACACACACACACACACACACACACACACACACACACACACACCTCACTTCAGTGTAAACCAGATGATTTCTCTGAGAACCTTCATCTAATCCAATCATAATCCAGGCTGGATTAGGTGAAAACAATAATCTGACTGTAACAACACACACACACACACACACACACTCAGGTCTTACCAGCCGTTCAGCTCCAGCTCCAGCAGTGACTGGGTCTTCTCAGAGTTACACTGCAGGCACCACATGTTGAGCCACACCTCTGACACTTCTCCAAACCTGAGCGCTGCTACTCACTCACACCCATTACTGCCCACACACACACTCACACACACACACACACACTCAGAACTGTCATCTGGCCGCTGCCGTCTGAAGATCTTTACTCCACAAAGACTTTTCCATTTCAGCCCCGTCGACGTCCTGCGGGGGGCAGCGCTGAGAAGGTGCAGCTCTGTAATCCAAACAAACCCGTTCTTTCTTTTTTCCTTTTTTATTCCTCTCTGTCGCCT